ATGACAATGTGATTTAGCTCTGTTCTGCTTCTAATTTTGATGGAGTGCTCTCCATCACTCCGCCCTGGGTGTGAAGGTCTCCCATCCCTCTCTCCTTCCACCAAACCATATGAGAGGACATTCGGCTCGCTGCATATTTAGAGTACTGGTTACAAACATCCATCCATGCCTTCTTCGAGGTTCAAACCCGGATCCTTTGGCACAACAATCAGTGACGCTGACCACTATACTGGTTGGGCAGCGTAATATCTTTAGCCATATTGAGCTAGTAAAAATTATATCTGTTTCTGTGTTTTGCCTTCTTTATTCCCATGGGAGCCTTGAAAAACAGAACCATGTACTCGTTTTAAAAAACCTTTTATTCGACTCTATGTAAGAACTAACTACTGAGCTAAATCTCCCATTATTTTACCCTTATGAAAAGTTATATTTTCAAGTTCCTTAAAATTTCTTTTTCTGTTTTAAAATAATTCTTATTTTTTTTTTAAGTCGGGCAAGACATATACTCCTCTCGGAATTTTAATACATCATTACGATGATCATTTTTGAATATCTAACATTGGAGTTGTTACTCTGTGTATATTGACATATGCATCATCTCTATTTTTCATCGTGGTTTCTTCATATGAAAGAGGAATATTTATTTCAGGCATATTTGACTCCCATCTAGTCTAAACATTTTTCCATTTCACCTTCCGGTTTTGTTTCTTCCATCAAATTCATTCCCCCTGTCAAACTACAACCCTCGCTCAAGAGTTCAAAGGTCTGTACGTATAATAAATAATCTACATTCAACAGATCCATGCTGCCAAATTGTCTACTGGCTAGCTTTATAAATCGGAATCATCATCTTTCAATGATCTTTTTAATTTCACTTCTATTTCATCACCAAATGCAATATCAACTTTATTTTTCCGTTATCTTGATTACTTTGCGGTGAAATATTACTTTTTAATATTAGAATCTGTGTACCTGAATCAAAAATAGTTTCAGTTTCTTTAATTTCAACTAGTATTTTCACATATTGCAGAGGCTGAATTTTGACTTGTTTTATATCAATGTACTCTGTATTAATCTGTGCCACAACAGCATCATTTTTCTGTAATTTGCTACTTTTGAAATTAGTTTTATTTTGATGTTCACATTTAAATGTTTTATGACAATCTTTAGATTAAATGTTGGAAAAATCCACAAATATTACACTCTTTTAACTTTGTTGGTTTTAGACAAACCATCTGGTTTTCATATTGGAGGATAGTGAGTACTTTTGGTTTTAATATTTGGAGTTTTCTGAAAATAGTTACAAATCTCATTTAACGATTTTCTTTTGCAAGCAAAGAATGTGCCACATTCCTTTCTGATTTTTGCGGGTTGTAACCAACTGTCATGTTGTTTGTTTTACATTTATATGCATTGCTGTCTCATAATTAAGAGTTTGCATTAATTTATCAGCTACAATTAATTCATGAACTGTATTTAAATCATTTGCGTTCCTTAACATGTAATACTATTTCCACTGTGTTATTAACCAAATTGCAAATTCTCCTGACTGACATTTAGTCTTTCAAAACATAGCTAAACATGCTTGAGGAGTTGGCTGATGTTCTTTTAAGATTTTATTTTTAGCTACTTTATAATTTTTGACATCATCTTAACTAACATAAATCAAAGTGTGTTGCATTTTCTCCTAAAAAGTTTATCAAAATTTCGGCTTCACACTCTTCTGGCACATTTTAAATCTTAAACGGTTGTTCAAGCAAAGAAAAATAAAGTATCCACGATTCCGAATGATGCAAAATGGATATCATTAAAGTTTTTATGCTTTTAATTAAATTTTCTAGTGATGTGTTATTTGAAATGTTAGAATTAGGTGAAGCTGTAAGTCTTGCGATTTCTAGTTTGTGTTCTTTCTCTAATTTAAGCTTTTCTAGCTTCAATGTCAGCTTTCAATTCTTCAGAGGATTTTCTGTCATCTATTGTGGAGATAAGCGTTGATTTAACGAATTCAAGATCAGATTTGTAGTCATTACTACTAATAATTTTATCTTTCTATGAGTTTAAAACTGTCATCAGTATCCTGACCTACTTCTTTAGCCAATAGCAACAAATCTTGTTTCTTGAGGCCTTTAACTGCAAACATTTTGTGACTTTATTATGTTTATGTAATATAGTGCTAATTACTTCAAACCATTATAATAACTTTTAATGTATCTCAATTTACAGTTTTTGTTAATATAATTTAAAGTTAATTTAAAATTAATAGGTAAGCATAAATCACTTACCTTTACCTGATCTGATTCTACTGCACTAAGGTAAGATCCAATTGTGCCCGGTGCCAAGTCTTGTACATAGTTAATGACACTCAGATTAACTTTCTCATTTATTTACAACATAGTTTCTTTATTATCACCACAGACAGAGAGAAAAAAGGAAACAAATGTTAGCAACACTTTGAACAAAGTATTTTCGTATGTTCCAGACACAAATATTTTTCACATATTGCGTTTTGGTTTTTGTGTCCTTTTTCGCTGGGGAAACGTGGCATCTTCTTTTTGTTTGTGAATTTTTTTTTTTTTTTTCTTTTTGTGGTGGTTGTCCATCATTACTTTTGGAATCGGCATGTAATTTTGCTCGAAGTTCTTTTGTAAGAGATGGTATCGAAGCACGAACTGTTGTTTGTTTCTCAATGAGGTTCAATGCAAGATGTCATATAAAGTATATATAAACACATACTTTTATATATACTAATAAACACAACTTTTATATATACTTTATATGACTTTGGGGGACTTTTGGACAACAAAGTGAGTATCCTCACATTTATTACATCAGCGTTTAAAACAGAAAAAAAACACCTATAATACCTTTTAGGTATTCTGGATGTAGAATACGAAGCTGACATTTCATCAACTACTACTGCAGTTTGTAAGGTTGTAAAATATAGCAATTTCAGGCTTCTTGCATTTGCTTGTTTATCATTATCGATTGCATTGTCATGATGCATTATTGATAACAAATTCACACATTAATTTTTTTAGGAACATAAGAAACCAAAGTTGTATCTTTTTGAAAACTTAAAATTTATCAAAACACTTCTTGATATTTACCGGAAAGAAACTCTGTTTGTTCTTTCGAATTGTTCCGATGATAGTTTGCTTTTTTTAGCAGACCTTTTGCAAGATTGTAGCTCTTGTACCAGTTATCTGTAGTGATATTTCAACCCGACCCATAGAAGTTTTGCATAGTCTTTCTACGATTTCATAGGGTGAGCTTCTCATGCAATTCAGACCTTATGGTAGCAAACCTGAATAGATTTCCAAGTATAAAAAGTTCATCAACTAATACAAAAACTTTTATCCCATATTTCAGAGGTTTGTTAGGATTATACTACCTGAAAGAACATTTTCCTCAGAAAGCTTCAAGTTTTTCGTCAGTTGTTATTAACTCACCAAAAGTGTAATATTTCTGGCAGTTATTCACAAAATCTTCAGGAAACTCTCTTACGGGTGCAGGTTTATCTGATTCTTTCCTGATTATGTGAGTTCCTATGACATCAAAACACAAACATCTTGATAAAAAAAGAAGTTAGTAGTTCATTTGTAGGTTATAGTTTTGTGGAAAATTTCCAAGCCAGTTCCGTCTGTTGCCCACAGGTCCCGCACATTTAGATGAAATGACTTATGAACACCACAGAAATATAAAAGTCCTATAAAAGCACAAATTTTAATTAGAATTGTGTGACGAGCATCTCTTTCTCTTTGAAAGTTGTCAGAAATAGATGCAATATAAATATTTGTATAAATGAAGAATTTCAGTAACATTTGTTCATTTAGTAAAAGTTCCGATAATTCATTTGGAGTCTGCACATATTTTGTCTTACCCATGTTTCCAGGCAATTTAGTAATAATGTTATGAGCAGAAGTTCTAACATCAATTTTGGCTTTTCTTTTGCCAATTGTGTTTTTTGTCTTTTCCAATAAAGCAATAAATGTCATTCTCATTTTCATTTTCAGAATCCATCTCGACTTCTGAATCAGTATCATGGATAAATTATGCAACATGTTTGTAGCTTTCTGTACTGCCACAAATAAACTATGTAACATCAATGCAAATAGTCATGCTGTATCTGAAAGACCTGATCTGATCAAAACAAAACTTTGAATTAAATTTCCAGCAAGATCTTCGGAAACATAAAGAAGATGACCTTGGAGGACACTACAGTGAACCACAGCCACTTGGGAGCTTGCATAATTTCTTCACTAATGTATTCTTGGAAGTGGAATTTTGTGTTCAATTGTGTGTAATTAACATAAATAATTACAGCATTTTGCAATGGTTGGACCATTAACTGAGCATATTTTTTCTCATTATCATTTAATTTTGATGACTAGTGTATATTTATTAGGGCAGAACTGCTGAATATAAAATCACTACACTAAATTTTCATCTTCTCCTGCTGAAAGCCCGTCTCCATCTAACTCTCTTCTACACCTAGAGGGTGCTACTTACTTTTAGGATGAAAATTTTGAAGGACCAGGTGCTACAATAATAGTAAAAAATATTTTTAAAAAAATCTCCCCTTTCTTTTTGAGGGGAGAGGGGGAGGATATGGAATTTGCTTTCTGAATACATATCATATAATATTTTTAATAGTCAGACATTTAAATAAATAATGTCAAAAATAAACATTTAGTGGGTTATGCCATATTTGGTTATGGAAAAAAAAAAAAAAAAAGCATTATGTACTATTAATTCTTTAGTGGCAGAATTTTAGAAATCATTTGTATAAAAAATTGCTGTTGTGAATTTCAAATCACAGTTGATACATTATAAAATAGTTTGTTAATTGTAAAAGTTTTAGATTATTTTAATGTAAATACAAAAGATTCTTTTTCTATGCATATAATGCTTTAAATTGGACAGTGTGTTACAGTCTGTTTTACGTGATGTCAAATATTTGCCGCATATGGTTTATACTTCATCTTCCTTAATTTTCATAAGACCCTATATTGTGTACATGCTTCATGAGAATGATATTTTAGAAGATTGGACAACTATTAGAAAGGTTAATTTCAAAATATATTATTGTTGTGTCTTTTATTTTATTAGTCTATGTATCTATTAAATGCAGAAATGTATCATTTTCTAATTTGGCAACATTTCATCTTTCATTTGTTTAGGCATTAAAAGCTTCCAAACAAAGTAGTGAATGTAAGTAGAAATTTTTTTATTAAAAAAAAAAGAATTAATATCACTAAAAATTACATTTAATTTTTTTACAACTATCCATTTTTTGTTGTTATCATTTTCGTTGCTATTTAATTTTTTAAAATTATTATTAATGGCAAATGATGTACATTACTTTAAATAGAAAATTAATTTTTTTCTTATTTTATAATATTTAATGATTGTGACATATTTGATTCTTCCTTCCTAGTTGCCGTTGTAGTGTTAATGTAAGTGGCTTCTGTAAAACTTAATTAATTAGGTACTTTTTACAAATTAATGTGAATTTCATTAACTTAAAACATGTTTATGCCATAATGTGCCATATAATATAAGTGCAAGCATCATTACCTAATTTTAAATTTAACATGTAATAAAATTTAGTTTGGTATTGATTACGATGGAATTGGAGAAAATGCTCATCCCACAGTGGTAGATAATGGCCGGGTGATATTATTCACGTACGAAAAAAATTCTGTGCAAGTACATTTGTTTGAAATGTATAATACAGTGCTGTGGATATTATAAAACTATGCACTGATGAAATATTCAAATGAAAAAAGAAATTAATTAAGATAAGGTGTATAAAGACATATTATAAAACAAATTTGTGAGAATGAAACATTTAAAGTCAGACTGTAATAATAAAAGGGGAAACAAAGGTTAAGTATCTTTTTTGCTATACAACTGTATGAAAAAATTCAGAACTAGGTCGCCGTTGCTATCTGAGTTGAAAAGAATGCAGTAAATCATGCCAGGTAAAGACTTTATATATGCCTTTAATTACATGTCGTAAAAAATACTTTTAACTTGTGATGCAGATGTTGCATGGAGAAGTGAGTGCATGATGAAACTTCCATAGATCAAGTGTATTTCAGTAAATAACAACAGAATAAAGCATCACATGCACAGATTTCGCTGTTCGTAATATCAAAAGTAATTTAAAAAGAGCATATCTTTAAAATTTCCAATACACAGTCTCCCGCACTAGAGATATTTTTTTTTTTTCCTTATAGTGTTGCCATTGCTCGTTTTGAAATGGCTGAGTTTGTTAATAAAAAATGTGTTAAAGTTTTATAAAATATGAAATAGATAATAAAATAAATTCCAGATTTCAAATTTGGGCTTCCAGATGTCCATATTCGAATGGAGGACTACGTTATTCAAAATCTTGTGTCTGTAGGTACTATTGTTTTTTTCACAGTGTGAGAAGCATACATACATTCATGTAGATTCTTCGTCATTTAATTTCTTTAAATATAATGAAGGGCTCTAATATTTGGTGGCAACAATTTGAAAAGTGAAATGCTACAAAATGCCAAAACCAAATTAATAGCCCTTCTGTGCTAATGCCCTTTGGGCTAAAAAAAACTAACCAATTTACTGATTCCCATTAAATCTGTTTAAGTGACTTTAATTATTTCAAAATTTCTAAATATATCCTGAAAATCAAACACAGTCAAAAGTAGTTAATTCGGACACCCATAATCTGGAGTGATCTATAATCCGGACCTCAAAGCTAAAACTTTCTGCGCATGCGCCCGCGTTGACACATGCGCATAGGCGTTTACGCATGCGCATAAGACCTTTTACGACTGCGCATATGCCTGTGTGCAAGCGCAGAATACGTTTTCGTGTGCATGTTTTATGTATAACGTACGGTATAAGCTAAAATTATCTAATTATCTATTTCAGTTAATGTTGATGATTGCGTTGTTCCTTAATCTTCAAATTGGATCCGGCTTATTATTTTTGGCAGACTGTAAGAGCAATTTTATAAAAGTAAACTTGAACTTTCGATTATGTCAAATAGAATTTCCGATTCTGGAGCTCCCAAAGGATCGTACAAAACGAAAGTATGTTTTGATGTCCATCAAACAAAAAGTGGATTTGTTGCAAAAAATGGATAAAGTGATGCTAAAGCAAAGTTTAAAGTTTATAAAATTAAACATTTAGCAGTAGTAGCAATAAAAGCTCCCTGAGATTATATGTTGTGCAGACATTGAAGGCAATAAAGAGGTTTCAAACTTAACCAATTTAATAACAATATAAAAAAGATAAAAACACAAAGAATAAATTTAAACAATATCAGAGTCTTAGAAAAAATATAATATAACCATTCATTTTCAACTTTATTCATCAAATAATATTTTTACCTGGTCTCCAAAATACTGGCATTTCAATACAGGAAAGAAAAGAAACCTAAACAGAAATTATGCAGTCTCAAATGAAATTGGCTACACATTCAATAAGTCCATGCTCAATGGTCAAGAAAGCACCTGAAATCTAAATTAAGTCCTTGAAAGCACTTAAATCCGGCCTAACTCCGTTCACAGTAGTTGAACACGAGGAATCGCCACTAACTTATTTAAATGCCGCCTTCATGAAGAACATGGATGCCGCCCACAGCAGTAACTCACAATGCAGCCTCTGGAACCAAGGAACTTATTCTGGAAAGGTCATCTTGTGGACAGGAACCAAGGAACTTATTAAGGAATAGTCATTTTGTGGACCAAGGAACTTATTCACCGAACTGCACGCATCCTTCAAAAGGGGCTGGAAACTGCACACCCAAGAACCAGTAAAGCAGGAACTAGAAGGGCTGAGCCAGAGTGACGCGAGATACTTATACCAGAAGTAGGCATGACGTCATCTCACGGCAACCAATCAGCTATCGCCATGATTCGACTTTCCAGATGACGTAACATCGCGTTTCGTTTTTGCATCTTAATTAGGTTGAAACAGTCCGTTCTCAACACAAACAGTGGCAGTAAGAAAAAAGAAGTAGAAGTAACTACTATATTACTTTAAAATAAGAGCTAAGCCTAATAAATTTCAGGAGGAGAGATGATGCGTAAAAAGGTTCCAGTAAGTCATATTTACATAAAGACATAAAGAATGTGACAGAGGTAGTGAAAACGAAAAAATTTCGATTGGCAGTTAGTCGGTATCTCGGCACAGCATTACGGGACTTAAACAGCGGAACTTTGTAACTGAACAAGAAATTATGTCTGTTTATAGAATAAAGAGAAAGTATATCACATAAAACGAAGCACAACAACGTACATTGAAAGAAATGTTTAATAAATAAACAAATATTAAGTGTTTTTTTTTTTTTTTGTAAATTTTGATAATGTTAGATCATAATTGTCTTTATTCATAAATTACGTTTCGTATTAATTTTAAAATTCGCTGCCATCTACGAGATTTTAAACTGTGATCTATAATCCGAATCGCCGAAGTCCCATGAGTCCGGATTAACGACTTTTGCTACTTCAATTTTTCAACATTATCAAAATCACTTGATTTCTGTGATGTTTAAAAATCATCATACCATGCATGTGTGTTAAAAAATTGTGTTAGCTTTACCAAGGAAAATTTTTGTTAACCTTTTCTGTTATATGTAAAATATAAATAACCTTTTAGTAGTATATAAAATTTCTAAAGTTGGTGATCTAAAATTTCCAGTGAATTCTCATAATATAGCCTTCAGACCGGCGCGATCCGAAACAGTTTTGCCTCCTCTTTGACATTTTCCTAATGAGAAAAGTCGTTAGTTTCCCCTCCATGGATGAAGTAAAAATTTACATTTTGTCGGACCTTACGTCCCATAGTAGAGGGGATGCTAGATTTGCAATTTTTTCGATGATTATTTTGCTTTCATTATTTAATGAAGTTCTAAATAAATAGTGCATAAATAAATATGCAGTACTGGATGCATATCCAGTGCACACTTTATTTAGAACAAAATGTATTTGTATTTCACTATTTCTAATCATCTCGTAAATAATTTGTGAATTTTTTAACTTTGTTTTCACTCTTCATTTATATTCGCGTATTTTCGTATTAGAAATTAGAAAGCGAGAACAAAATTTAACAAAATATAGTAAATACAGGACTAGATTGTAAGTCTGCAGGCTTGGAATGCGATTTTAATAACATATTTTCATTAATAAAATAATGGTAATGACTAATTTAATGAAATAATAATATAATATTTATTACCATTAGATGATTAGAATGAGATTCAATACAATTAGATTTTGAGATGAACTTACAGCAATAATAAAGCTTTACATAACAATAACAGCAATTAAATCTGCTTTTTTCGATAATTTGTTATTATAATATAAAAATCAAAATCCGAGATACATTGGTTGCGTTTAATCAAATTTAACTTTAACAAATATTACATTGGACTATCAGGCAAAGAAGGTATATCTTTAACGAGAATTTTTCTTTGTAAAATTTGGCTTTTGTTTATGTTAGCCAGAGAAAAAAATTCCGTGACTATACAGCAATCATCAAAAGAATTTTGAGAACAGTTTTAAATGTTCATGAAGAATTAATTTACGTCAATTTCTTTTCATAGGTAGAAATTTCGTCTAAAACCATCGTTATATCCAAAAGTTGAAAGTCTATTTCATTTTCAACGAATATTCTATTTGCACATAATATATTTTCTAATTTATTTTAGAAAGAGTAATCTTTCACGTTTTTCAAAAGAATAAGGAAATATTGGTGTTGACACATGTAGTAAATCTGTTTTTATATTTCTTCCAGTAATGAAAACGATTACCCTGGAATATTTTCAAAGCAAAATTAAGAAAACCGTTACGCAAAATTTTGCTAAAGTATCTTCTCGTGTATTTTTTATTTAAAGTGTGGAATTTCTCTTTGAAAATATCAAAATCATGAAGCAAAATTAATTATTAGAAATAACTTTGAAATGAATAATTCCATCGTATCTGAAATAGTGAGAAAAGTGCATACATTTATTATTCACAAATAATCCCCTCATAGCGTAATTTATGTACTGTCGATTGAGAAATATAGGTTAGTAAATTAAACCGGTTTATTTCATACTTTTCCTTTATCAATTTTTACGGGCTCTTCAGTAGAGCGGTAAAGGTGGCTGAACACTTTAGCTCGCTTGGGTTTGAATCCGGCTAAATAGTTGGATTCACGGTTTTTGTGTAACGTAAATGCAAGCCAGCTTCTCTTAGAAAGTCCTCCGCAAAGGCATAACTCCTTATACAGGTAATTGTTGTGTGCTTTGATGTAATTCAGTAAGCGAACGAAATTAATCCAATCAATACCGAAGAACGGGTTGATTACATGCGGAGTTTCACCAGAATTGTAAATGCGAGCAATTTTCTCTAAAAGGTTTACACGAAAGCCATCCATCCCTTAAGCAGATAGCTTTCGCGTGCTTTTCCGTAATCCAAACCTAATTTTCATACATTTAATAGTAAGTTGACATACACCTTATTACAGACAAAATAACAACCTTTTTTAAAGATAATTTTTTATAACTTGTCTGAATTCCCTTTATCTCTTGAGAGTATAAGAATTTCGCAAAATAAAACTGGCCGAAATTTTATAAAATGTAACTGATGTTTTGATTCAATTTAGAAGTAACGTGAGCTTTACTGATATTTAAATACTTTTTGGCAGATCTCATCCTAAAAGGGTCTAAAGATAAATTGATTTTATTTAATTACAACCAATGAAAATCAGTGAAAGCAATCACGAATGAAAAATCACAAAAACTATTATGCATACATTGTCTCTTATTATCTCTGATCAATCAGACAAAATTGCCTGATAGAAGCACTTTGAAAGAGTTAACAGTTCTTAAGGGTTTTATGCACTCCACAAAAAATATCAAAATAAAATATTATTCATAAGTATGAAAGGAAGTAACGATAAAAGCGGTTTTACCTATTTTCTAGAAGGGCATTAAATCTAAAATATTAATCTATTATTTCTTATGATTAAAAAACATTAAATATGGTAAGCTTAAAGAGCGTGCAAAAATCGCTGACGTTTTAATCATAGCAAAGTCAGTACTAAAAAAATTAGCATTAAAATTATGAGACAGATTGAGAAAGAGATGGCCTCTATTATTTCAAGTATATTGGCGCGAGGACGAAACCTGCGGTTTTTGCAAAATGTAGCCAACTGATAAGAAGAGGGAAATAATGCGTAGCCAGCGGCTACTCTGGAGCGACATGGACCACCCAAAGATACAGATAGGGGATTCTCTAAAATGGGGAGGGCATGGATGGTACGACAGTTGTACCAATGCCGGCGTCTGAGAAAGTCATTCTTCTGGTACAACTGCTGTACCAGCCGGCTTCGAGAGGTTAATGTAAACTAGAAATTTTTTTCTTTTTAGCCATATTTTGCTGGCAGTGTTATTTATGTCTGTCTAATATAAAATCAGATGTTTACTTCTATCCTGTTTGAGTTTTAGTAAACTTTGAGCTGAATATTTTAGAATAATATTCCTTTTAACAATATTTTAAAAGTTAATATTTTTTGCAGATGAATTCAATGCACCCGAGCAGAGGGTTTGTGCTCGATTTGCTGATGGAAAATTGCTGTTTAAAGGCGATTCCTTTAGGAAAGGGGAATCGGTTATTGTAGATGATAAAATTGACAGTCCATGGCCGTAAGTTTTTGCCCTGAAAAGCTTGGTGATGGTGGCTTCTTATTTTAAGATTTTTTGTTAATAATTTTTATTATTTCTGAGTTGCAAAGTTATTTTTAAAAAGTTATACCAAAACAAACAAAAAAATGATGTTTATATTTTTGAAAGCTGTCTGGTTACTTTTACTGTCTGCATTTTGGTAATGCAATTAATTATTTAAAAAATTAGCTTTATTCTTTACATTTTGTGATTTTTGTGCATTGAAGGCCTTACTTAGTTTATGCCAGGGATTGCACTTCTAGGAAAACCAATGGAAATGATTTTAAAACTTAAGGTAAATGGCATGCATTCCTGGTACTTAAACTGGAGTAATATAATCATAAATATAGCAATCAATTCCTGAAATGATGTTAAGTAATTAAAGCTATGTGAAAAAATAATGTCAAATCATTAGTCTTTAAGTCTTTACAGTCATTTATGTTTTTTTGCAATAATTACATGCATTTTAAATAAAAGAAATACAGTAGTACCTCCAAATGAGGGACATCCACTGAACCCACATTTGTCCCTTAAATGGAGGTGTCCCATCTTCAGAGAGTGCATACTAAAAATAACGTAATTTAATAAGAAAGTCAGGTTGTATCAAGCTTTACGTAAATGATATGTGAATAAGTAGTATAGTCACATGTATTTATTTGAATTTAACAGTCAAAAATGAACCTAATGAAAAATGAAATTCCTTAAAAACATTTAATTGTTGCAAAAATGTATGAAATTAACAATAGAGTGTAGCAGAAATTTAAGGAAAATAATGCTTACATAGGTTTATTTAAAAGTGTGCAATGCAAGCATTTTTTTCCACGTGAAGTCTTTGATGATCTCAAGTCCTTTACTGTCACCAACAATTATCATGAATTTTTTGTTGCTCTTCTGTTATCAGGACTGGATTTAGGAATGTATGCATTTGTGTACATTTGTGTATATGTGCATACACTGAAGTGACAAAAGTCATGGGATAGCAATATGCAAATATACAGATGGCAGTAGTATCGCGTACAAAATGTATAAATGCGAAGTGCTTTGGCAGGGTTTCATTTGTGTTCAAATTATCATGGAGAGGTTTGATTGATTATGCCCGCACGAGAAATTAACAGACTTTGAACACGGAATGGTAGTTGGAGCTAGACGCATGATTCCTTCCATTTCGGATATCGTTAGGGAATTCAATTCCGAGGGTCCACAGTGTCAAGTTGCCAAGAGTATCAATTTCAGGCATAACATCCCACCATGGACAACCATTGGCCGACCACCCTGCACTTACGACGACCAGCGACGTCTGCGAGAGTTGTCAATTTTCACAGACAGCAACACTGCTTCATAACCGCAAAATCAATGTGGGACGTACGAGGGACGCAGCGAAATTTGTCTTCTGGGCTAGCCAGCAGAATACCTTTACTTTACTGACAGCACGACATAGCCTGCAGCGACTGTCTGGGCTCGTGACATATTGGTTTTCTCTAAACGAATGGAAAACCGTGGCTTGGTCAGATGAGTCACGATTTCGGTTGGTAAGAGCTGATGGTAAGGTTCAAGTGTGGCGCAGACCCCACGAAGGCATGGACCCAAGTTCTCAACAAGGCACTGTTCAAGCTGGTAGTGGTTCCATAATGGTCTGACCTGTTTTTACATGGCATGGACTCGGTCCTCTGGTGCAACTGAACCGATCATTGACTGGAAATGGATACCTTCAGCTACTTGAAGGTCACTTACAGCCATTCATGGACTTGTCACTTCAGTGTATATTTATGTATACGCACAAACATATATACATGCATATATGAACACACACATCCATACATTTCTGAATTCTGATAACAGAAGAGTACCAATTTTTTTAATTGAGAGGTGTATTTTAATGTCCTACTGTTGTCTGGTTCTTCATTTTCCTCACTGCTTTTCCAGTTTTTATTTATTTATTTATTTATTTATTGTTAAAGCTCTCATCATCAATTGCAGTTGAAATAAAGGATTTTGTGTCATCATTGGTGTTTTCAGTTACAAAAATTTTCATCAGCATCTAAAAATTCTTGTATTTCAGCACTGCCACTGATTTTGACAGACTTAAGGCTCGTTTCCACTACTGCATACGAACGCATTGTGTCAATTGAAGACGCCTACGGCATTCGTACAGCTTTTCCACGTTCTCCGTAAATATTTCATTTTCTGCCGCTAGGTGTCACGTATTTTGGCGCCAAACGCAGTTCGCAAGTTACGACGCTGATATCTGAAATTTTTCCCGCTTAAGCGAGTATTATTTTTTGGATTTGATATGGATCCTGCGTAAACGCCGAAGTTTGTTTACTAATTCCATGTTTTGGAAATTTTTATTCTGCTGAACTCAAAGTAAAGTCTCTAGCATTTTTACATAAGTAAGGTTTAATCATATTATGAACACTAATTCCAAGCCGTAATTTTTTTAAAAAAATCTTGGTTTGTAGAGCTTAAATTTGAAATATATATTATTATAAAATACTGTTAGTGCAAAGTAAACAAATAAATAAATAAAAAAGTTAAAGGGATTAAAAATAGTTGGTACTTTAAAAGACAAGCAACTGTAAAGAAAGGTTCCAATTTATCCAATTTGCTATGCTTGTATACCTCTCGGTCCATAGCTGATAACATTAGACATCTCGTTTGTTTAAAACACCCGGGCATTATATTTTATGCATACTCATAAAATATTTTATTTAAAACACTTTTTAATTCTATCTCTTTTTATAAGTTATAAAAATAAGATTTTTCTCTTTATATATACACCATAGGTAAACAAATGGAAATATTTCATTCTGTCTTCTGTGGAGAGGCTGATTAAAAGCATTTATTATAGTATTTTTTGTAAAAAAATGTTTAGGCATAATACTGTCTCATGTTAATTGGAATGATTTTTAGAGTCGTAAACCAAAGTCTGAGCACATGTATATCATTTCACTAAAGTGAAACGAAAATATATATCTTTAACTGAGGGTTTCAAATAAATAAATTTAAATAATTCTTTGCGCCATTTGCTGCAAAAAATTTGAATTAAACATTTTCTTTCATAAAAGCAATTAAAAGTTAATTAAATTTAATGAAATTTAATGCAAACAAATAAAGGATTAATTTTGCTGCGAACTAATAATATATCAAATTCTGAGAGCTATGTAAATCAAGTGCAGTATCACAATCCATAAATAATATATATTCCAAATTTATTTATGCTTTATTCATTTGCATTTTATTTAGGATTTTCTACCTATTATTTTTATGCATTTTTATAAATTTTTAGATTAATAATCTATCCCATTATTACTTATGCATTTTTATAAATTTTTTAGGATTAATAAATTTTTGGAATTAAAAATTTATTCAGGATTTGATACTTGCACTATTACTATCTCTCAGATTTAATGATATTGTAGATTAGTGCAGAATAATTAATCATTTATTTCATCTATATTTAATTAACTTTAAATTCCTTTTTGCAAATAGAGAATGTTTGTTAATTCAAATATATATATACACAGGGTATCTTTAATTAGTATTATATAATTTTCTGTTTTGCTGGGGAAAATTTAAATAAAACGATCATATAAACAATATATTTACGCATATAATAATAGAAAAATTCTAAAACCGATATAGACAAATTGGAACAAAGCTGAGAAGTTGCAGACAGGTGCAAAGCATATGGGATTCGAACTCATGACCCCCAAAGTCATTATTACTGTAGCTTACCACTAGCTAGCAACACGGAGTTGAGGCATATTTTGCTTATACTCATCAAGAAATCAATTCTTAAACTAAATTTTTTGGTCCTATTTAGTGTATCGTCGAAAAATTCACCAAGTTTGTTCTCAGCTTCTTACATTTTTACAAAAACATTATCTTTTTAGTGGCGTTCCGATTGAGTTAACGGCTGTTAAAATATATTTCATGGTTACAAATATTAGCCAAAGATATATTATAAAGGGAAATACAAATTTAACATACTCTTTAATGCAGGGAATTAAAAGGCTATCAAATTTTTTTAATAATTAACTTAGTTTTTCCTTCAAAAGAAAATAGCAAATTTTAATCATATCTAATTTGCAGTTTGATATAGTCAACATTCATTTCATTAAAGGTAATGATATGCAGAACTAGGAAATTTGTTGACAAATTTTTATTTCATGGACGGAATTATAATTTGCCCGATTTTGAATTGCTTTTCTTGAACACCTGATTTTCTCTGCGAACAGTACTGTAGTGCAGCTATCTTATTTTTCTTTTTTTTTTAACTAATTCAGCGTGCTTCTTTTCACACACAGATTTCTCGCTATGATTAATTCAGAAATAAGTATTTTTTAGCAAAACCTTCCTTCCTATTAGCGGCGTTCATCGCTACTTGTCCGCCATTAATTTTAGTGACGGCACCTGTTGCTCCCTTTTTTGACCACGTGACCCCAACGCATTCAGACCTACGGATAGAAGTTGAACATTGTTGAACTCCATCCGTATGTCATCCGTCACCGCACCGACCGGATTGCAGATGTCGATCAAAGTGAATTCGCTCGCTGATTGGAGAAACGCATACGCACCGCAACGCATACGCAGCAGTGGAAACGGGCCTTTAAACAATGCATTTTCATCAATAGTATTCTGCTTTGTTAAAACATTGCTGAACACGACTTTGTGATAGGCCTTAGCAGCCTTTTGTTATTCACTGAATGGTGTTCAATATATTGACACATTTTGCGAGCTGCTTGCTGTTTCCCCAAGCAGCTTGATAAAAAACACGCTGTAAAAACAGTTTCCTGTAATGAACATTTAACCTCCTAATTAAGCATCTTCATTATCTGATGTTGTGTTAGGTGAGAAAAATACTAATTTCAGTGATTTCAGTTTTACATTTGGTGGGTGGGCTGGCAAATTGTCAAGAAATAGAATCTTCCTTTTTTTTTAAGACATTGTTTTATCAAGAGCAATCAACCATTTTGACATTA